TCCGAGTAACCGTAGATTGTCTCGCTTATAGGATCATAGGGTACGTCGAATATATCACCCCTAGGTCCTTCGCTCGAAGCTGCTGACTCAATATCAATTTTCAACTGGGTAGGGTTAGAAGGATTTATCCGAGGCCGATTCAGCTTCGTCTGGGCCTGGAACCTTCCCCTAAGCCTTTGCAGCTGTGTAGGCTTCTCCTGTGGGCAATGGGGAGCCTTAACACTGTGCCGCGGGGAGATAATATTGACTCCTTGGAACGCACGACCCATTTCAACGCTCCGGAGTGGTTTGCCCAATTTCTCAAAGGCTTGAGAACCTCGAGAAGTAATATTCTTAGTTAAAGTATCTTTGTAGGATAACTTTAACGAATTCTTACTCTCGGGGGTGTTCGGCTGGAGTTTCCCGGTCGGTGCAGAGTCTTGTTTCGCGGAGCCTCCATTTGTCTCGACGATATCCCCTGTTGCTGGCCGGTCGTGACGTTTTAAATTCGCGCCATCATTATCTCTTTTTTTCGCCCTCTCCGAAGTCGCCACGTCGTCGCCTTTTCGCCTTTTCCATATCTTTTCGCGATCGCCAGATTGATCCGCGGCTACTGGCGATTCCCATTTTGACTTCGGGGGTGCCGCACTGTTGTTGCCCTGCAGCTCCGCTTGTGCCTTCTTCATTTTCCAACACGCCAAGAGTCGATGTCCTGCTGCGCCGCAAAATTCGCACTTCTCATATTTTGTCGGCCGCTGCGTCGCTTCGACCTTGTCGATATCCACCGGGTCGGCGGTCGTGGGTGGTGCCGATCGCTCCGTGCCGAATGATCTGTTCGGCACGCGTCGTCGTGTTTCGGGTTGATCTCAAGTCAGCACATCGAATCTCTCTGCTGCACACACCATGTCGCGGTGGTTGCTGTAGTTCGCGGCAATCACCTGTCGGCGGACTTCCATTTTTAGCCCCTCAGTATACGCTTGGATTTTTTTCCCTTCGGTCAGGTCGGTAATTCGGTTGAAGAGGCTCTCCATCTGCTGCGTGCACTGTGTTACACTGCCGAACTGTTTATGCTGATGAATCTGTTGCCGCGCCATGTAGCTCGAATTAATCGGTTCGAAACGTTGAATTAAAGCTGCCCGAAACTGCGTCCATGACCCCTCGCCTCGGATCTCATTACTGTTGTAAATCCACTCGAGCGCCGGGCCTCGCAACAGTGTCGCTGCGAGCCGAATCCGCATTGCATCGTGTGTCGGGGTCGTACAGCCAACGGCCTCGAAGTAAATTTCGAGGGTCGCAATGAATCGACGGACGTCGGTGTCTCTCGTATTCGGATTGAACGTCTCCGGTAGCCTCGGACGTGCCGCCTCAAGATTCACTGTAGCCGCTGCCGCTGCTGCTGGGTGAAGAGTCGGTGTCGCTGCTGCTGCTGCTGGCGTCGCTGCTGCATTCGTTGCTACGTTCGCTGCTGCTGTGGCGGCTACCGACTGGTTCGCGAGAAGCTCCTCTATTCGCTGGAGTGCTGCTCGCATCTGGTCAACGTCGGTGTGTAACTCCGTATTTTTTCGTACGGAATGATCACAATTTTCCTCCATTTGGCGATATACAAGAAGATGCGCGACGAAACTAAATGAGTTTTTTGCGCTGGTCGACTTACTGCGAGTCGAACTGACTATAGAAATCACGAGCGCTGAATCTGTAAGTCGCGTAATTCTCCCTTCGTCGAAATTCACGTCTGATCTCGGCCGTTGACAAGAAATTCGATCCGACGCTCCAAATTCCAAACCTTGAGGGCGAGATTCTCAGGGCCGTTGAGATTCGAATCGATCCGACGGTCGAAATTCCAACTTTTCGCCACTGGACCTGAGGAGTGTTCGAAAACCGGTTCGAGGGGGACGTTAAAAAATAGCGCGGAACTGGTTTACGTACCCGAAATCGGCGCTTTCCGTCGTCGCCCCCGCGGTTTTAAAATCTCGGTTTTAGCGGTCGAAAATCTTCGCGTGCAAACAGGCTCTAATTACCAAGTGTGAGGATCTAGGATCGAGCTCATAAAAGTGGGTTTGAATTCAATGATGCACCTGGGTACAACACGAGGTTATATATAGGCTCGACACAAGGCAGGTAACCCAGGTGTTACGTAAATGTTTTGAGGGTCGCGAAGCGTCCCGAACAGAACCTTCCCGAACTCAGTAGAAAGCAATTCGGTGGCAACCGAAAAGGCTTGAGTTCGGTACACGTAACCTGGTTCGGTGCTATAACTATAATAACATATAGGAATGCACCTAACCTAGGAAATCAAGCATATCTATGCATGATAAAATAAACCCAAGCTAGATATAGCATAATAAGCAAGCATAAGCCGTCGTACTCTCACAGCTGTAGCCACCAAGTTCCTAGCGAACGAGGGGAGGTGGAAACCTGTGAGGGAACCAGAGAGGGCTGCGGGACACAGGAGAACAGTAGAACTACGTGCAATAACTGGGCCACCAGAGGGGTCGGCCAGGATGACAAGGACAGGGGCTGTGAGCGGTGTGACTGTGGTGCATTCACGGAAGAAGCAGCGAGACGCGCCTGAGTCGAGTAAGAAAGTGTGCAAGGCCTCCTCAGACTCTGCACCTGTGCTAGCTGAGTCACAAGCACCTGTAGCCTCTACACCACCAGGTGCCTCTCCACCCCCAGCACTAGTACCCCAAGCTCCGCCACCGGGGCTGCCCCACCGGACAGCCCACTCGCGAAGCTGCTGCGACGAGAGCGTCTCCTGCCGACGAGTACGAGCACCGCGAGCACCAGCACCTCTAGCTCTAGCACGACTAGCTCCGCCACCAGGGCTGCCCCACCAGATAGCCCACTCGCGAAGCTGCTGCGGCGAGAGAGACTCCTGCACACTCGGCTGCCGCTGACGTAGGACAGTGGTAGTGGCCATGGCAGGCAGTGGTAGTAGTAGGAGTGGTGGTGCCAGTAGGACGAAAGCGGGATAAGGGCGTTCGACGGGCTACTGGAGCGGCGCACTCTAGGGACGCGCCACGGGTAAAAAAACGGGCAGCAGTAGAGGCGCGCCACGGGCAGAAAACGGTCACGTCCTAAGGGTACATTCCTGTCTGGACATTTGTGTCACAAAGCGGAGGTACCGCTATGTACCGAATAGAACCGCTTTGTTAAAACATTTCGAACTTGGGTTCAATTCGGTACAGAGCGGTACCTCCGCTTTGTGACACAAATGTCCAGACAGGAATGTACCCTAAGCTGCAGGGCGCACTGGCTGCAGGGCGCGTGAGCTGCAGGACGGCGCACGGGCTGCAGGGCAGGGCAGCGCGCGGGCTGCATGGCAGGGCGGCGCGCGGGCTGCAGGGCAGGGCGACGCGCGGGCTGCAGGGCAGGGCGGCGCGCAAGCTGCAGGGCAGGGCGGCGCGCGGGCTGCAGGGCAGGGCAGCAAGCGGGCAGAGCGCAGGGCAGGGCAGAGCGCGTGGGGTAGCCCGTGCAAGGCAGCGTGAGGGACGCTGTTCGGGCAGGGCAGGTTACGACCGGGCAGGGCAGTTCGGGCAGTGCGAAAGATTAACGGTGGGCCCTAACGGAGCGGTCCTACGGAGGGACCTGCTCTGAATACCATGTCAGAAATAACGGGCAAGAATGAGTGACTAGAAAGGATGGATGAGTACAAGTAGGGCAAGGTCTAACCCTAAAGTGCTGTACTCAGTAGAGGCTACCCCACTACAGCCTACAACATAGAAACAAAGTTTGACAGTCTGCACAGTGGCCATTTGGCCGATGTTGGTTAGCTTGATTCTGCAGCGGCCTAAGGAGCAGTCAGGGAGTTCCAAATGATTCAGCTCTTTATACCACACACTTAGGAACAACTTTTTATACACTCCAGACAGCACATGACAGAACTCATGACACTATACAAAATATAACAGAAAACATGGTATTAACTAGTTGACAATGGTTGCATAAATCTAGTTCACACTGGTAACAAACTTTAGACTTCCCTGTTGGGTAGCTGACGCTGGGATAAAAAAAGATATATCAGAACGGAGGCAGGCCAGAGGGTGGATGGAAGAGTACGTATGAGGGTGAGAGTAGGAGAAAGGAAGATAGATCGGGGGGGACGGGGGGAAGAAATATAGATCGCTGGAAAAGAAAGAACAGTGCACACCTGCAGTGCAAGCACTAGTTTTTCAAACCTTCAGATGGAGGTTACCCAGACTCATAGCTCAGCACGGCACGGCACAGCACAGCACGGCACGGCACGGCACAGCCCAGCACAGCACCTGGTGTGTGGGTGTGTGGCGATGGTGATTGAAGGTGGTGGACCAGCGCATGAGCTCCACCAGTGCTGCCTCCATCCACACCACCTCACGCTGTAGCTGTTTGGGGAGTGGGGGGAGTGACGCGGGATGCATTAGGTGAATTTGAGTCTTAATTGAGTTCTGACTCTCGAGTTTACTAGAAATTGCGTCCCTCCACACCACCTCACGCTGTAGCTGTTGGGGCGGGGGAGTGACGGGGGATATACTGCGTGATTTTGAGATTTGTCTTCTGAGTACTCACTCTTGAGTCGACTATGCATCGACTATGCATCGACTATGCATCGACTATGCACACCACCTCGCGCTGTAGCTGATGGGGGGGATGGAAGGGGGTGCACAGGGTGGCCGTGATGCGAGGTGCATGGAGGGGGAGGAATGTGAGAAGGGAGCAGGATCAGGAGTGGGGTGACGGTTGAGGGGGGAGGGCAGCGGGAATGCTGGTGTAGAGTGTGGCGAGCGGGCAAGTGCATACATTGAGTTGAATCATAATCCACGAAAGAGTGGAGGAAGCAAGAGAGAGAGAGGGTGAGTGATGGGTGCAGTGCAGTGCAAGCAGTGGTCCATTCAGACACGGGTGGACCTCGTGCAAGGCACCAAAGTGCACTGAACACAGCCGAGGACTACAGCTCCTTCCTCTCACATGTGACCCACTTCCCATCTGCATGCGACAGCCAGCACACACCCCCCAGCACCGGCTGGTCCAGCCAGATCGGCTAGTCACCTCCATCCTCCACCCCTGCACTGCGTGCCACCCGCCCCCTGCAGTGCACGCCCCACTCCCTCTCCTACCTTTCTTCCATTGCACACCATGCCTTCTTCCCAGTTACCTGGTGAATGGCTTGAATCTGCTCCCGTGCTTTTGCCTCCCACTGCTGCTGCCCCTGCTGCACTGCTGCATGGCGCTGACGTGAGGATGGGGTACGAGCAAGGGGCGAGGCATGTGTGGACGCGTGAATGGGAGGGGTGGGGGGGAATGGGCGAAATGGCAAGGGAGGGAATCAGGATGTATGGGAAAGAGGAGAGGGGGATGAGAGAGGGAGAGTGAAGTGTTGTGCTGTGGGGAAGTGTTTGAGGTGAAGCGTACGCACCTGTTGCAGTGTGGTGATCCGCTGCTGTTGATCCAACATGGCATGCTGCATGCTCACATGCTCCTGGTGTGGCACAGGAACGGGAAAGGGGGTCGGAGGGCATTCGGAATGAGGAATATATTGGCATCGGGCAATGTGTTTATGAGGAACTTGACACGCCACACATGCCCCAACAACCCGAACAACCCCAACAGGCCCACGTACTCGTGTGCGTGCACACATGCGCACACATGCGCACACATGCGCACACATGCGCACACATGCGCACACATGCACACACATACGCACGCATGCACAATCACACACACCTGTCTGAGTGCGTCCATCCACGCACTGTCCACCACCCACTTCTGGTGCCCACGCCATGCATGCCCGCCCATGCACCAGAGCGGCATGGGGGGAGCGAGGAGAAGAAGGGCCGTGGGAGAGAGGCAGGGCAGAGGCGCCGACAGGGGTAGGTTTCTGAGGCACGGGGGTGGTAGGGGAGGTAGGGGGGATAGGAGGGAAAGACTTTTGCGGCGCCCCGAAAGACATGGTCGCACTTATGATGTAGATGGAGAGGTTGGGCGAGAAAGGGCGGGAGAGGGCGAGAGAGACTTGGGGTGGATGGGAAAGCGGGGCAGCGGGAGTGGGAGAGGGGCAGGTGCGGCAGAAAAGAGTCATGGCAGCGTCATGGTGTGATGTAGGGCGGTGTGCTGGGGGGGTGGGGACGCGATGGGAGAACCAGGGTGAAGGTGAGGAGGGCGAGCGGTGTGTGACAGGTGTGGTATGAGTCAACTCAAAAAAAGCACCGGGCACGAGGATGGGAGGAGGGGAGGAGGGGAGGAGGGGAGGAGGGGAGGAGGGGAGGAGGGGAGGAGGGGAGGAGGGGAGGAGGGGAGGAGGGGAGGAGGGGAGGAGGGGAGGAGGGGAGGAGGGGAGGAGGGGAGGAGGGGAGGAGGGAGGAGGGGAGGAGGGGAGGAGGGGAGGAGGGGAGGAGGGGAGGAGGGGAGGAGGGAGGAGGGGAGGAGGGGAGGAGGGGAGGAGGGGAGGAGGGGAGGAGGGAGAGGAGTACTCATCATCACTTACATGTCCACACAAGTCACTGCCTCGCTTCCTGCCCTCACTACCCTTCCACCAGAACCACGCATTCCTTCCCACCACCCTCTCCTCGTATTGCTCCCTCTCCTTCCAACACTCCCACGTTTCCCACTTCTCCCACTATTCCCACTTCTTCCAGAGTTTCCTCCGATCACCTGCACCCTCTCCTGCGGCATCACCATTTCCCCACTGCCTGCTCTAATACTGATTCCTTCCTCTTCCCCCTCTCCCACATTCTCCTCTGCCCTATCGCCCACTCGCCCCCTTCCCACGCCCCACTCTGCTTCCATTCCCTCCCTCTCTCTGCTGCCCTGTGCATCACATCCGCCCTGCCCCTCACTCTCCTCCTGCTGCTCCGCGCCTACGCTGCCCCTCCCCCTCCGTACAATCCCCCCCACCCTCGCCGACTCTGCTCTGCCATCTTCCCTTGACCCTGCGTCTGCTGCTGCTAGTCGTGCTGCTGCTGCTGATGATGGTGGTGGTGGTGGTGGTGGTGAGTGCGAGGGTGGAGATGGAACGGATGTGGCTGCTTGATGAATGGATACAGACGCCACTGCTAGTAGTCCTGCTGCTGCTGATGCTACCGCTGCTGATGGTGGTGGTGGCGCTACTGCTGCTGCTGATGGTGTCCCTGCTTGGATCCCACAAGCCAATTCTTCGCTTGGCACCTTAACCACATGCTCTCCCACCCTCTCACGCCCCTCCCACTCCCCTGTCCCCCCCACCAGCTCTCGGGCTCGCTCTCTCAATCGCTGCAGCTGTGTGTGGGAATGGTGGAAGCAGAGGGTGGAGGCGAGGTGTGTTGTGGAGGAGGGAGCTTGTGGCCTGCTGTTGGCAGGGATAATGAGGAAGGGAGGGGAGAGGAGGGAAGGGGGGAGAGATGAAAGGGAGTGGAAGAGACCGGGGGTCGGTGAGAGGCGAGAAGGGTGTACAAATGAGAAGCAGCGCTCTGGTGTGCGGTCTGATGCGCTGTGGTGCGCTGTGGTGTGGTGTGGTGTGGTGTGGTGTGGTGTGGTGGGGTGTGGTGTGGTGTGGTGTGGTGTGGTGTGGTGTGGTGTGGTGTGGTGTAGACTGTAAAACGGCATGTGGTGGGGCAGAGGCGAGATGGGGAGGGGTGGATGTGGATGGAAGTCTGCAGGAAGTGGGGAAGGCGGTATGGGACAGATGGGGAGAGAGAGGGCGTGGGGAAGAAATATGAAGGATCTGCATAAATGCAAGTGGTAGAGGCGAGGGAACAGGCGGGGATTGTGAGAGGGAAGGAAGGCCGTGGGTTAGGGAGGAGAAGAGGAGGCTGTGGGGGAGGCAGGCACCAGGAAATAGATCCGTAGGGAGGTATTTTTTACTGCGAGTGGTGCACTTACTTCGAGTGGTGCACTTACTTCGAGTGGTGCACTTACTTCGAGTGGTGCACTTACTGCAAGTGGTGCACTTACTTCGAGTGGTGCACTTACTGCAAGTGGTGCACTTACTGCAAGTGGTGCACTTACTGCAAGTGGTGCACTTACTGCAAGTGGTGTGATGCTAGCTCCCCCATGAGTGTGTGCAGTGCTGAATCCCGCGCTGCCCTCTCCTCCTCCGCCCCTATCACCACCTCCCTCACTGCCGCCTCCCATCGCCCCACCTGCTGCCGCTTCGCCTCCAACGCCTCCTGTTCCAGCAGGGGAGAAAGGAGGGGAGAGGAGAGATGGATGGGATGACATGGCATGCAAGATGGACGGACGTGGGAATGTCGCGACCAGGTGACTTTTGAGTTGACTCAAGAGCCACCACAGCACTCGCCCTCTCACCCTCCCACTCTCCCACCCTCCCGCCCTCCCGCCCTCCCGGCCTCCCTCCCTCCCTCTTACCCTCCCTCCCTCCCAACCTCCCTCCCTCCCTCCCACCCTCCCACTCTCCCACCCTCCCGCCCTCCCAACCTCACTCCCTCCCTCCAACCCTCCCACTCGCCCATCGACACGCCAGTCTACAAGCCCGGCAGTGCGCGCACCTGGAACCGGCGGCACACGTGTTCCATGTGCAAGCAGTGGCGCTTTGATGACACTTGTTCGCCTCCCCACACGCAAACACACACTCATCCACCCATCCACCCACCCATCCACCCACCCATCCAACCACCCGTCTCCCCTCCCCACGCACCTGGAACTGCCTACACACATGCTCCATGTGCTGGATGTGCGCCTCTATCTCCCTCGCCTGCCACCCCTGCAGCACCACGCCCTTGCCCCCGCCCTGCCCAACTCGCTGCTTGCACTGCTGCCCCGCCCCTCCCCGCCCCCGTGCCTGCTCTCGCACAGTCGCCCCGGCAGTGCTTGTACAGCCAGATGCGGCAGCATCAGCAGCAGCGCCAACCACAGCAGGAACAACAGCAGCAGCACCAGAAGCAGAAACGTTCCATCTTCTCTCCTGCGTTGAACCCTTTCCTTTGCCCTCCTCCTCTGCTTGTACCACGAGCCTCCGTGCCGCCTCAGCTGCTGCCTCCACCTCCTCCACTCTCTCTCTCAGCCTATCCAACTCCCTCACCGCTGCTCCAGCCAGCTGCTGTCCCTCCATCTCCCGTGCGTGCCCTTCCCGCCTCAGCTCCTCTATTTCTCGCATCAGCACACACACCACCTCCTCACTCTCCCTCCACTTCCCCTCCACTCTCTCCCGTTCCTCCGCCTCTCTCTCCCTTGCAGCAGCAGCAGCCCTTCTCTCTGCGTCCACCCTCTGTGTTTCAGCCCTTGCAGCTGCTACCTCGTCCTGTAACCGTCTCACCTCCCTCCACATCTCCCTCCTCACCTCCTCCTCTGCCTCTTCCTGTGCCACCTGCCATGCATCTAACTCCCTCTCCCTCTCCCTCTCGCTCTTCATTTCACTCCGTACCTCAACCATCGCTTGCACACTCTCCACCTCCCCCCTCTTCTCCTCCACTCCCTCCACCTGCCTCTCCTCCTCTCTCACCCATCTCGCCCCCTCACTCCCTCCCTCCACACCGCCATGCAGCTTGCTCCCACTCCCGTCCCTCTGCTGCTCGCCGGTCCCCCCCACACGCACACTCTCCTGCACCTGCTGCCTTGCCCACTGCTCTCTTTCCCCTTTCGATGCCTCATTCTCTCCCTTTAAAACCTCAATCTCCCACCTCAGCGTCTCATTCTCCCCTCGCACCTCCTCCACTTCCCTTCTCACCACCACAATCCCCTCTGCCCCTCGTTCCACCTGCAGCACCACCACCTCTCCCCTCCCCTCCTCCTCCACCCTCCTCCTCTCCTCCTCCACTCCCCTCGCCACCTCCCCCTCCATCTCCTCCACCCTACACAGCAATCCCTGCACCTCCCCCTCTGCTTCCACCAATCGCCTCTCCCCCTCTGCCAGCAGTACCTTCAGCTCTTCTCGTTCCTGCTCCATCTCACCTACCACTCGCCTCAGCCTCTCCACCTCCTCCTCCCCATCCCGCACCTTCTCTCTCAGTTCCTCCTCTCGCGTTCGTCCTTGGCTGATCCCCACCCTTGCAGCCTCTGCAGCCCTCACAGCTTCCCCCACCTGTTTCTTCCACTGCTCCTCCCTCTCCTTCCACTCTCCCTCCCGTCCCTCCCAGTCAGCCAATTTATTATCCCACTCCCGCTCTCTCTCCTTCCACTCTCGCTCCTTCAATTTCCATCCCACCTCCCTCTCCTCCCTCTCTCTCACCTTCCCTTCCATCTCACTCACCCTCCTCTCCCGTGCCTCTGCCACGCCCTTCCACCTGTCTCTCTCCCCTTGCATTTCCTCCACCTCCCTCTCCTTCCGCTCCACCTCTCCTCTCACCCTCCTCACCTCCTCCTCCCTCTCCTCCACCTCCTTACGCAACCGCTCATCCTCGCTCTCCACCTCCCACCATATTTTCCTCTCCTCCTCACGTTCCTCTTCCCTCCTTTTCACCTCTCCCTTTAAATCCTCCACCTCTCCCTGTAAACCCCTCACTCTCCCTCTCAGCTCCTCCCTATCTTCCACTATCCGCCCCAATCTCCTCCTCCACCCTCTCCTTCTCCTCCTTCACCTCCCTCACTCTCCTCTCCCCTTCCTCCTCCACCTTCTTCACTCTCCTCTCCCTCACCCCCACCACCTCATGCAACGCCTCACACTCCTCTTGAAGGCTCATCACACGACCCTCCATCGCCCCCATCCGCTGCCTCTGCACCATTGCCACCTCTCTCCCCCTCTCCAACTCCCCTTTCACCCTCTCCCACTCCCTCTCCGCGTCCCCCTTCGCCCTCCTCTCCCGTTCCACCTCCTCTTCGAGCTCCGCCACCCTCTCTTTTAGCACCTCTACCTCTGCTCGCAATCGCTCCTCCTCCTCCCTCATCTCCTCTACATTCCTCTCCACCTCCTCCTTCTCCTCCCTCACTCTCCCCACCTCATTAACCACTTCCCTCTTCTCACCTTCCACTCTCTCCATCTCCTCTTGCAACCCTTGCACCCGCCCTTCCATCTCCCCCACCAACCCCTCCAACCTATCCCTCTCCCCTCCCACCCTCTCCAACTCCCCCAAAACTCCTCCCAATCTCTCCCTCAAACCACCAACCTCCGCTTCCAGCCTCACGACCTCCCTCCCCTTCTCCTCCACCTCTCCCTCCACCTCCCTCACTCTCTCCCTCCACCCCTCCACCTCCTCCACCCCCCTCCTCTCCGCAGCCTCCTTCTCCTCCCCCAGCACCTCCAGCTCTCTCTCCCTTATCTCTATCACTCCCTGCAGCTCCTCCTGCACTCTCACAGCCTCCTCTGCTTCCTCCACTGCTCGCCTCTCCGCCGCTAGTCTGCTCTCCACCTCTCTCCGCTGCCCTTTCTCCATCATCTTCAGCTTGTACACCTGCTCCTGTGCCGACTGGTGCTGCAGAAACAGATGTGCTTTCGACGCCTCGACCATTCTCCGCCGCTCCTTCTCCTTCCCCACCTCCCGCTCCACGCCTGCCCTCCTCTCCACCTCTCTCTTCACCTCCTCTCTCGCCCTCTCTATCTCTCCTTCCATCTCGTTCACTCTCTCTTCCTTCTCTCGCACCTGCTCTCTTAGCCACACCACCTCTCCTTCCTCCTCTCCCTGCCTTCTCACCTCTCCATCCTTGCCCCCCTCTTCTCTTGCCGCTCTTGCAGCTCCTGCTGCTCCTGCCCCTCCTGCTTCCCCTGTCCCTTCAACTCCTCTCATTTCCTCTCCCACAACAGCTATGCCACCACTCTCTCCTGTACCACCAACCACGGATGCCCCCTCATTTTCCTCCGCTCTCACACCCACTACCTCTGTTTTCGTCCCTCCCGCCTTTCCCACACCTGCATCCACACCACCCACATCCTCCTCTACCTCATCCACACAACCAACACTCACTACCCTCACCCCCTTCATCCCTTCCCTCCCCTCCCCTCCCCACTCTCCCCATCCCATCCCCCCCCCGCCTTCCATCTCTCCTCCCTTCCCTGTCCCCTTACCCCTACCCACCGCCACCCCGTCCATCCGTTTCACCTCTCTCTCCCTCTCCATCTCCCTCACCACCCCCTTCAGCTCCCTCACTCGCTCCCCCTGCTCCACCGCCTCTCCACGTGCCTCCTCCACTCGCCTCCCCAGCACACCCACCTCTCTCACCATCTCCTCTATACTCTCCTCCCTCGCCCTCACCTCTTCCTGCGCTGCTCGCAGTCTCGCACAAGTCTCCAACCCAGCCTTCTCCATCCACCGTATCCTCGCATCTCTCGCTGCCACCTGATCCTCTAAAGCCTCTACCCTCTCCTCCTGCTCCCTTGCCCTTGCCGCCTGCTCTCTTACTCTCCCCTCTTGCTCCTGCAGTTTTTCCTCTAGTTCCGAATTTGTTTCTCTCGCTGCGGCCAGCTCAGAATGCTTCTCCACCACGTCAGCATGCTTCTCCGCCACCTCAGCACAAATCCTCGCCAGATCAGCACGGCACGCTGCCAACTCACTCTCCAGCAGCACCACATCACCCTGAAGCATCCCAACTCTCCTCTCTCTCTCCTCCGCTTCCGCCTTCCACCTCCCAGCCTCCTCCTCCCTCGCCCTCACCTCTCCTCTCAGCCTCCCCACCTCCTCCTCAACCTCCCTGACCGCACCCTTCCCTCTTTCCACCTCCCCTCCCATCACCTCCACCTGCTTCCGCCACTCACTCACCCCGCCCTCCAACACACCGTTCCGCAAATTCTCTTCCCCCACACACCTCACACACCCCTCTCTCTCCTCCACCACCCCCTCCAGTTCTCCACCCTGCTTCCTCCGCTCCTCTACCTCTGCCTCTACCTCTACCTCCTCTGCCTCCACCTCTATCAGAACCACCTGTTTTGCTGTCTCCCTCACCTCTTCTGCTACCACCTCCTTCGTCTCCTCCACCTCTCTCGCTCTCACCACCTCCTCAAGCTCCCTCACACTCTCCTCCAACCTCCCAACCTTGTCCTTTTCCACTAGCAGCTGCTCATCCGCTTCCCTTATAAGAACATCTGCCTTCTCCAACCTACTCTCAAGCTCCTTCACCTTTTCCTCCTTCTCCCTCACACCCTCCTCCAACTCCCTCACTCTCCCCCCCTTCCTTTCCACCTCCTCCCTCACCTCCCCCTCGTTCATCTCTGCCTCACACACTTTCTCCCTTTCCTCCTTCAACTGCGCTTCCACCATCCTCAACATCTCCCTTCCTTCCCTCATCCCCTCCTTCCTCACCTGCCTCTCAAGCCCCTCTATCCACGAATTCCCCAGGCCCTCCTCCCTCTTTCCCACAGCACCACGGCTCTTCTCCACCCTCCCCAAACCCCTCTCCCCTCCCTCCTCCTCATGCAACCTGCCTTTCTCCTCCTCCCGCGCTCTTTCCTCCTGCTCGACACCTCCCCCTCTTGCTCCATCCACCTGCCTTTGCAGCAGCAGCACCAGGCGCGCCCACACTGCATGCACGCACTGCTGCACCTCGCTTCGCCTGCCTGCAACCCACTGCACCTGCGCCTGCACCTGCTGTAACTCCGCCTCCACCCCTGCCAGCACAAACGCCATGCCTCCTACCTCGTCCCCATCATATTCCCCCTCACACTCGCCTTCGCACTCCCCTTCACACGCTCCTCCACACTCTTCCTTACACTCCCCCTCGCACGTCCTCTCAAACCCCCCGTTCACCTGCTCCTGAATCCTTCTCAACTCCTCTCCACCTTGTTCCACCCGCTCTTCCCTCCCACGCCCATGTCCTGCACCAGACTCCTCCCCTCCTCGTCCCCCCTCGCACACCACCTCCTTCCCACTCCCCACACTCGCCTCAACCGCACACCCACACACTATCTCCACCTCCTCATCCTCCTCTCCTCCGTCCTTACCCACTCGCCTCCCCTCCCTTGCACTCCCCTCCGATCCCTCCTCTCCCTCTGTCCCCTCTTCCTCCCCTTCTATCCCACCCATCCCACCCATCCCTCCCCTGCCTACCGCACTCTCTTCCTCTGCCACTTCACCAACCCCTACCACTCTCAACCCTACGAAACCGTCCTCCTGCTCCCCTTCCTCACTACCTTCATTCCCATGCCCCATCCTTCCTTCCCCGTCTTCTATCTTCCTCTCCCCCCCCACGGCTTCCCCAACGAGCGACTTAACTCGTGCCACCTCCCGCCCTGCCCTCTCCACTTGCTGCTCCAACTCAGCCTGCTGCCATCTCTCCTCCTGCACCCTCGCCTGCAAATCCCGAATCCGCCTTATCACCCGCTCCAACCTACCCCTCCCTCTCTCCTTCCCCCGCCCTATCCCTCTCCACCTCCCTTCTTCGGCCCCCGCGCTGCCCGTTTCCCCCTCACCAAGCTCGCTTATCCGCGCCCCTCCTCCCTCGTTCCCGCTGTTCCCCCCTGCTACAACCTCGCCTCCCCACACTCCAAGCATGCTCCGCGCATCTCCAAGCCCCTCTTGCATACCGCAATCTCCCCTCTCCGCTTCATTCCCGCATTCCTCCCCTGCGCGCTCCCCTGCGCGCTCCCCTGCGCGCTCCTCTGCGCCCCCGCTGCTTACCCCTCCTCCGCCTCCTGGCGCGCCTTCCTCCCCTCTCGTTCTATCCATCCGCCTCCGTATTCCCCCCATCATCCCCTCCACCGCGCGCCATCCCTCCCGCGCGCGCATCTCGCTCCTGCGCACCCACCGCGTCACCTCCCCCACGTCCCGCCGCAACTCCGCCATCTCGCGCTCTGATTCCGCCAACTGCCCCGCCATCCCCGCGCCTGCTTCCCCTAACAGCTCCTGCCCAACGCCCGTCGCGGACACTACGGAGTCCCCCGCTTTCCGCAATAGCAGCGCGGCCAGCTCACGGCGGAGACCGTCCGCCTCTTGTTCCGCCGCCCGCCACCGCGCCTCCGCTTCCTCTCGGCGCGCAGAGGCTTCAGCGCGCTTGCTGCGCTCGCGCGCGAGCATGCGCGCGTGGTGCAGAAGCGTCTCTTCCATATCATTCGCCAACGCGCCGTCCCTCGTCGAGGGCGTTCCCAACGAGCCAGCGGCACCATGATCCTGCGAGTCGCGCACGGCATTTGGTAACTTGTGGGATTCGAATTGAGTAGTAGCACTCTCAATTCGAAAGCGAGAGACGGACTCGTCAGCATTCCTCTGTTGACTCGGAGGTTCCGAGACACCTCCGCCATAACTTTTCTCCTTCGCCGTTGCGGCGGCCATCGCGGGACCTTGCATTATAGGTGAATGCGGCGTGTCGCCATGGACTGCCTCGTTAGTGAGTGACTCGTTAGTGGACAGTCCGTTGGCGGATGTTTTGCCCATCGCTGCACTG